ATATATTACGGCTCCTCTCACGTTGCTTCATCTGGCCATCTGATGTTCAAATAAACAAATATCCAAGCAGCGGCTGCCTGCTAGGTTTAAATAAGATTATTCACAGCATCTGATTCAAGAGGGCCCCTGTTTGCTGTTGCCTTTACTGGATGAAACGAGCCAATAAGGGGCCAGCGGGCTGCGGCCTGACCCGGTTAGGGCTCCCTCTGAGGGGCCGAAATTGAGGGGGCCCTGCGGTTCAAAGATGGATCCACATTAATATTCCACCGGCGCTTGTAGGAGTCTGAAACATCCAATAGATGTTCAGAGAGCAAGGAACAGAGCCCCTAGTGTTTCTGTCAAGTTTGCGTGTCTCTGCTAGCCTGCCACAAATACTTGGGCCGCCTGCGTCTGGATCTTTGAAGATAACAGCCTTATTAATAAACAAGCCCTGCAATTACTCTGAGATAGGCACATATGCAGAGAGAGAGACAGAGAGAGAGAGAGAGAGAGAGAGAGAGAGAGAGTCAGGATTAGGCCACATTTCACTGAAGTCTAAATTGATGAGCTGTGGTCCTCAAAGGAGGATCATGATAGTGATCCTGCAGTAACCTCTCACAGCCGCCACACGCACACGTGCACCCAGACTCAGAGCAGATAAAGCGCTTGATGTAAAATATAAATGTCACAGTCATGCCACTGCTAAGCAACACCAGTCGAGCTGTCACAGCCGCTGAGTTCATCACACCAGCCCAGCTGCAGCTTTATGCTTTACCATTCAGATCCAGCAGCATTCAGAACAGAGTCACTCGATTAAAGGGGGGGACTCCACCAATTAGCAAAAAAATCAGCATAAATAACACGTTGGGATGTAAACAAAGTCATTCAGAGTAGTTTGATGTGAAATGGTGGTGATGGCTACCAGGCATCTAAAGCCTCTTAAAGCTCCCTCACAGAAAGTGCAGCATGAAATCAATATTGCATTATGAATCAGAAGTTTCCAAGTTTGGTTTATTTCAAAGTTTAGTTTTATGGCACTTTGTGACATTGCCAAGCAGCTCTATAGATAATCCAGGTCCAAGCACCAATGAGCAAGCCGAAGTCGACATCGGTAAGGAAAAAGAGCATGAGGAAGAAACCTTGACTCAAAAGGGGAACCCATTCTTCTCTGGTCGACACAAGGGTAATGATTTATTTTGAGCGGTCCTTTGTAGATGACTAACAAACTATTAACAGATTATCAGTAACACATCAACAACATATCAGTGAAGTAGCAGTAGTGAAACATCTGAATACAATGAAGTAAATATCTTGTAGATGTTCTGTTGATACATTACTTACATTAAGTAGATGTGTTGTTAATGTGTTACTTCCATTACGCAAAACCTAACCTTACCAACCTTACCCAATCCCAACCCTAACCCTGGCCCTAATCCTAACCCTAACCTTAACCTCCACCCAAAACCTAATCCTAACCCTCATATGTTTTTGACTGAGAGTCTGTTGAGTGTTTGTTTCATCTAAACAGGATCACTCGAAATAAAGTGTCACCGGCACCAGATAGCAAAACAATAACACGAGCAATATGAACAGAGGATAAGATTTCACAGTTCTTATAAAATATTAAATATGGAGACAAATGAAAAAAGGAGCCAGCCTGTCATTGGACAGAAGTATTTAGATTAAACAGTGTTAACTAAAGACTCTTGATGCTGAACAGTGTAACAGTAAGAAATAGATCTATGAGAATCAACCACTGTTTCCAGTGAAAACCAGTGACTGACTAATGAATATGCTGCCTACAGTAGTTCTGAGGTTTTTTTGTGCTTAAAAAACTCTAAATTAAACCATTTCACATCAAACCACTCTGAAAAATTCTATCTCCATCTAAAAAAAGTGGAATTCTCATTACCAAAGCCTTTTAACCCTTTAATAACGAGACAAAAGAAGCGTCTGTTTCTGCCTCCTCCGTTAATTACGTGATTGTTGAACAATGTTCTCATATTTTCTTTGATATATAAAGAACATCGTCTGACAAAGTTGGAAATTTGTAATTTTTTGTGTCAACGACTACCACTTTGAGCCTGTTACACTGTGAAAGTGACAGCAATAAACACCACAAAAATACAAAATACGGTAACACTTTATTTGGATAGTCCAATTTAAATGCTTTGTAGATGATTTTCTTTAACTCTAAACTTGCTCTAATCCTAACCCTAACCTTAACCTCAACCCAAAGCCTAAACCCAACCCTCATCCTGGTCCAAATCCTAACCCTAACCCCACCACTGTTTAGAATCAACTGAGTTTCAACAGATAGTTTGTTAACAATTTGAACATCTGTAGATGATCTGTAGGGGATTATTCAAACAGTGTGAGACCCAAAATATTAGCAAGATTCAGCAAAACCCGACGCAGCACAATTCAGCAGAAACAGGCAGAACGTCTTCAAGTGACAAAAAAGGCATCCTTTGCTCCTTACAACCTGGACATATAGGCTATTTTCCATTTTGGAAAAGGGAAAGTGGTGTTTTACCGCCTCGTTCAGGATCTGAAACTTTTTGACTGCCTTCACAAATCGCTCTGATGCCTGCTACTCTGTTTGGCCTGATTTTGGAGATGCAGCTCCTCACATAAAGAAAACTAAACCTTCTGACTTTTATCAAAAGGGCACAGCTGCTGGGACACAGCTGACACGTCCTGTTTACTTGTTTTCATGACAGGCCTACACAGACAACAGTGATTGGTCGAGTGAGTTGATGTTGCGAATCCAAATCCAACAGTGACGAATGAGAAAATGTCATATTTTCACCATCTAAAAAATGGCATTTGGTGTTCATGATATAATCAGTTACACGTGTTCAAATGCATGCTCTGTGTCTAAGTGCTTTAAATCTCAATCAATCAATTAAATAATCAATCAATCAAATCAATAATAATCATTTCCACAGTGATGTGAGATCACAAAGGCAGCTTGGAGCTTTTTTATGCAGTGCTAGAAAACACAGAAGCACACAGAAAACTCCAGTTCCACATGCTGATCCATTTTACTATGACCAACATGGACATGCCTGTTCGCCGATTACTCTGAGGACAGATTTTAAAGAGTTAACCTTTTAAAGCCAAAAACTTTTTAACAACAAAAAATGTTATTAATTTTGCCGTTTAATGTGGTCTCCTCTGTTAATCTCGATTACTTAGCAGAAGCGCAAAAATGACATGAATAAGAATGTTATATATCTGTTGTGTTTTATTGTTACTCTCATTATACAAATCAATAATAAACTTTTCTGATCTGAACTGCGCTCTGAATTTGAGTGATATCTGAGCTATCTGAGTTTGTGCAGCTGTTAAAAAAAAAACAAAAAACAAAACAAAACAAAAAAAAAGTGTATTTAACAATAAAGGAAGCCCTCTGTATCTTTTATACAGTGATGGAAAGCACAGCAACACACAGAAAGCCCTAATTCCACATGCTGATATGTTTCACTGTGGCTAACTCCACTGGCAGTGGATTCAAACAAGTTTAATTGTCCATGACCAAATTCTCAGGAAGGACACTTAGCTCGACAGGGTTAAACCGGACAATATATTAAGTAAGGTAGGGTCAGTGTGCAGGTTAGTGTGAGTTCTGCAATGCCCTGCTCTTTGTCCACAGCTTTTAAATTTCCAGCGCATTCTCAAGCCAAATCAAGTCAAGTCAAGAGGCTTTCATTGTCATGTATGTACAAGTACACAGTGGAGTGAAATTACGTTACTCCAGGAACAGCACAGTGCAACATGGAACAAAATAGTACAAAGTGCAAACGTGCAGACGTAAGTGTGCAAAAAATGTATACTAGAAACAGTGCAATAAATATGATAATTAAAACAGGCATTAGACACAGTAAACAGACAGGACAGTGCATCACACTGAGGTAGTGGTATAAGGCGCAAATAATATTTAACATGCTGTGATCTGTGAGTTTACATAGTCAGATTCTTAGTCTTTTTGCAACACTTTGGCAAATAATTGAATTAACCTAAGTAATAGAAACATATACCACCAATTAGCATTGTGCAAACTGCATGTCTAAATCAGACACACCTACCTCAAACTTGCCTAAACATTTTAGTTAACAGCATGTCACACAGTGTGAGAAACCACATAAACAAGTTTGTATGAGATCACTTAACATCTCAATAGCCACATTTACATGCAGCCTGATAATCCATTAATAATCCAACTAATAGTTCAGAATAGCATGTCCATGTATACATCTCAATCAGAACAGACTAGTCAACTAATATTATTGAGGCCATTCAGAGTACAATTTAGTGGGCAATCCTGTAAATAATCTGTTAAATAGAAGAATAATAGCAACATAAACGCCTGTATCTGCATCATAGCGAAAGTCTATAACGGTCAACATGGCGGGAGCAGAAACTGGTCTGCAGAGGAGACGAAGTTTATGCTCTGATCTTTAAAAGACGGCGGTGGGACGGACGTCCAGCTTATGTGTCTCAGAACACGACGTCTTCCTCTCGGCCTTCTTTAATAAAGACATGTGAAGGACGTTTTCCTGAGTCTGACATCATTTTAAAGCAATTAAAAACACAATCACTGCTCACTGCTGCTCGTCTCACTCTGACTCGAACTCACATGATGCTCGTTTTCATGGTAACGTCTACACTAAGCAGTGCTCTATGTTTTTGGATAATTTTGGATCGGATTAGTTCTAGTGTGCATGTAAACGAAGATTTTCCATCAGATTGCTGAGTAGAGTGAGCATAGAAACACCTCAGTCTTAATCTATAACGGGAATGTGTTTAATAGGATTGGCAAAACTCTTTGCATGTAAACACAGCCAACGTGTGCATAAGTTAACTTTGGATACCAAACTTCTTTGGGCTGATTTTTTATTTATTTATTTTTTGGCCAAACTATTCCTTTAAAGGTTCATGAAACAGTATGTCAGAAGGTGGGATCTAATCCTGCTGTCTCTGTGTTGATGGATGAAATAACTCAGGAGAATCCATACCTCTCGTCATTACGATGCCCGCCAGGCCTTTGTGGCACGTGTGAGCCAGAGAGGAGCAGCCAATCAGCTCGCTGTACTTCTCTCGCACCAAATGAAACACAGCGTCTGCAAAGTCCTGCAACACACAATGCACAATGCATCAGTTCTCTGTAAAGAAGCGCACAGTCATGGTGACCTGTTGGTGAAGTCCCAATCAGTGTTTGCCCAAACAACACCCCTCACGCCTAATTACATTCGTATGCAAAAGTTGGTCAAATTACATGTTTTGTTGATTTTCTAAGTGGAAATAAGATGATACATCATCTACAATGAACAAACTTAAATAAGATATTGTATTTGTTTTCCATAATATGTTAAATGCAGTAAATAAATAGTTATTGCACATTACAATGTGCAGACGTGTTTCTGTAGAGGATGTGTTAACTTTTTTCACAAAACAAAACACATCATTTAACTCAAACTTTTGCATATGACTATTTGAGTTAACATATTTGCAGAGTGGATGCTGTTGTTTAATAGCTTTCTTTTAAACTCCAGCAGCACTGCTGTGTCTGATCCACTCGTACCAGCACAAGACACACTAACACACCACCACCACGTCAATGTCACTCCAGAGCTGAGAATGATCCACCACCTAAATAATAGCTGCTCTGTGGGGGTCTCAAGTTGGTTGCAGATAAATTTATTAAAGTATTCTAAAATGTTAGTCTTGTGCAACTTTATTTTTTTTTTCAGGTAGTATAATGCTAGGAAGCTTTTACATGTCCAGAACAATGACAGAACTGTACATGATTTCATAATAACTCTCTATAACTTTGAGAATATATAAAATCCAGAATGTTTTTATATTTTCTATTTTAAAAAAGTGGTGAATAAATGCTGAGGCAGATAACATCACAAAACTACTATAAACTTCAACTTCTTTTGGTTAGGGTTCCCAAAATATGTGGAAATATGAACAAAATGCCTTTTCTTGTTTACTTTGGAGTATTTTTGGAGTAATTTACATTGTCAAATATTTTATTATGTATTAAAGCACACAAAAAACAAAATGTATTAACATGACAAGTGGGCCCAAAATTTGGAACAGTAGTGCACATTCCATATAGACAGACAGCACTTATGACTTTTCCCCCCTTTGTTTTGATATCAACAAATGACAAAAACATAGCAAAAATGAAAAACATGCAAAACGAGATGAAGCTTTCATCATAATAAAATATCTTCTACTTAAAATATGATATAATCCATATCAATATGGACTGAAAGCTGCACTGTACAGTTTCCCTGCCTGTTACTCCAAGATATGATAAATTGCAGTGTATAAAATTACCATGCTTTTGGCACTGCAGGCAATCAGTGCAACCTACAGTTATCAAAGAATGGCTTAATAAACTCTTTATTTGCAAGGTCACACTGTAATGCACCCCCGGGTGACTGTCCAGTGTTGAGCAGTCGCTGCACTAATTCTCGTATAGTGTACCGCTTTGTTAGAGTAATTGGTTGGAGAGAACCAGCTTGCGTTTGTGGATGAATTTTTGTCTGAGACACTTTCACTAATGAAAGCGAGGCGATTTGTTTAGTGACATCTGAGCTCTCCGTCCACTGAACCATCTGTTCACTGCTGAGGGGGGTGCGGTTTGTGCATGCGTGCATGCGTGTGTGTGTGCGCGTACGTGTGTAGGGCAGAGCAGTGGCCGCTGGAAAACTCAGCCAGCTGAAAAATAGTCTGGCCTCTGTTCCCGAATTCACAAAATGGGTGCGTCCCAATCCTGCCCAGACTGCAGGACAGATGTTCAAACAACCTGTGTGAGCACACATACACACTTCTCACCACATTCAGCCTCTGGTTCAAAGAGTATATGCTATTACGTGTAGCAATTAGCAGCTTAGGCCCCAGTGGGGACACTAGGGTTGCCAGACTGCAGTCCGGTGTAACGAAAATAGTTGATGCTGTCAAAAACTGACGCGAGATTCTCGCAGGGTGAACTTCTCACATGCAGAACTGTCAATATTAAAAGCTGATGCTGAAAAGTGCTGACACCGCACAAATACCACATTGCATGTTACAATAGTTACATCTAAATGTTCAGCATAGCAACCTACTGGGCATTTTAGTCAGAGGCACCTTAGGCAGAGGTGTACCAGATGAAATGAGCACAAAAAAAGTGCTTTCTCACTCAGTGTAGTGTCTTATTAATAGTGATTGCACACTGGATAACACATTTGCTATCTAGGGATACATTACTCTTCTTATTATTATCATTTTTCTGATGGAATGCTGCTGTGGGATGAACTCATCCCAGAGTTTGTGGGATATCAACACTGAGCCAACAGTTCAGTATGATTGGGAATGATGTGCTACTATTTTTACAGCTTTTTAATCAGACAATAATTGTTAAAAGATGATTTTAACAAACATTTGTTCACTCCTCCCTTCACCATTACACAAGTGCACTAGCTACATCATAGCATTCATGCAATACAACAGCAACTACCTAGCAACACCCTAGCAACCACCCAGGATACCACAGAAACCATCACCTGGAACACCACTGCAACCACTTAGCAACCCCTACGTAACTACCATGGAAACAGCTGCATCCATTTAGCAACCTGTTTCCACATCACCAACTGAGAGGAGAATTATTTACCATATGTAGAAAACGACCAATGTCTCTTGTCTAACATACTGGAAGGTAAAATGCCATAAAAAGATTGGACACAAATAAAGCACAATGAGTCTTACATAGTATATATCAGTTTATTACCGATAAACAACACTCTAACTGGGCTGTAAAGTAAAGCAATCATTCTTACTGTGGTTTTACTGAGTTCCTATTGTTTACATTTGGTGTAGTTTTAGAAAAATCTTATTTTTTAAAATTTGTTATCATTTTATTTTGTGCTGTCATTGTACACCACATAATCTACCCTGTACTTGGACATGTTCCTGATTTAAGTTCTTTTTTAAAAGTGTCCATGTTACAGTGAAATGTAGTGCATGTTTGAAGTTTCCTCCTTGTTACTTTATCAGGTAATAATCTGTTAGTAAGACTTTAATTTAGTAAGACTTCTTAGTACTTACCGTCATTTTACCCAACATAATTACACAGCACTTTAGAATCTGGACCCCACAATTCCTCAGTAAATATCTGAGACCTGTTGGGCATTTAAATTTTAGTTTAGCTAAACTTAGTTAATTTAGTTGTATGTATACAGTGTCAGCTACTTTTGCTACACTGGACAGTCTGGGGTCTTCTCTTGGAGGGGAGGGTCAGGCAAGCAGCCAATATGTCTTTTATTATGCCCTCCCCTCCCATTCTGTCATTTCTGGCCATTTATTCATTTATTTATTTTTTATTTTTATTCATTTTTACACTGTTGTTCATATTTTCTATATTGAACATTATACACTGCCAGAAAAAAGCTAATGTACAGAAACATTTTTGTACATAAAGGCACAACCCATTCTGGTCTTAAGGTCCAATTGTGTATCTTTTAAAGTACACTGCATTCACTTTGGGCAAATGTGCATATTCACACTTTTGTGAAATAAAACTTTACTTTTTAAAATAAATAATGAATAAATAAATAGTCCAAACAGGGAATATAGTGTCAATATAACTTTAAAAATATATAACTGCAATGGAAAAGGGAACAGTTGTGCTCCCAAACTAAAGGTAAAGATGTAGGCCTTCTCTTGAGGGTACCACCTAAGTGATGTGAGGGATACCACCCCACTGACACTTCAATACCTTTTTTAAGAACGTAGGTTTAAATACAGGTTTAAATAAATTGACTATTGTTAATTCTGGCATTGTGTAACACAAATAGAACATTTATACATACATTTTTAATAGCTTTTTGAAAGTAGCTGTAGTTTAGAAATAACTATTTATGGGCCTACACATCGGCTGTGTCTTAATTTGCATACTATTGTAGGAAATAACATGTTCAAAACCCCAATGGCTACATTGGTGGTGAACTGATTTGTGGTGCTATTTAATATGCATATGCAGTTTGAGACACAGCCAGAGAACGCACCCAACAACAGAGCTCAAAACAGGACTGTCCGGTCCAAAACTGGACACTTGGCAACCCTGGGGACACACACATGCATGAACACACCATGCCAAATGAGGATTATGAAGGAGCAGAAGCTGTTGGGCGGCCAGACAGCTGGTGGAGCACAGAGCAGTGGAAATTCTCGAGTAAACACACTGTTGCATGGATGTGGTGGGCGTTATGAAGCATATGCTTTCTTGGGGAGTCTCTCTGTCTCGTTCTCTCTCGTTCGCCCCTACTTTTTATGCATTTCTCTCTCTTCTTTCCTCTCTCTGCCTCTCTCCGTCACTGTGTGCCCCTCTGGAGGACGTTTACAACCCACAGCAGTGAGTAAGCTGCATTAGTGGTGATGATAAGGCCCCATCCTCGGTTTGCCTGGGGATACCCATAAGGAAAAAGAATATGTGGACATGTGTTTTTATGTATTTGAAATCCATGCCAAAATACAATACAAACACTACAATGTATTTCAGAATATATTGCCATATTAACCAAATATATTTTAAAATATGTTTTAATAAAGTAATTAGGACAAATTTGGCATAAAAATTACAAATAAATCTGATAATTTTAGAATCTATTCACAAATAATGATTTAGATCCTGAATCACACAAGTATATTCTTCTCCAGCTGTTTTCATTGCTACACACATACACACACACATAAATCACCAGTTAACTATATATATATATATATATATATATATATATATATATATATATATATATATATATATATATATATATATACATATACACAGATCAGGCATAACATTATGACCACCTCCTTGTTTCTACACTCATTGTCCATTTTATCAGCTCCACTTACTATATAGGTGCACTTTGTAGTTCTACAGTTACAGACTGTAGTCCATCTGTTTTTCTGCATACTTTGTTAGCCCCCTTTTACCCTGTCCTTCAGTGGTCAGGACCCCCATGGACCCTCACAGAGCAGGTACTATTTGGGTGGTGGATCATTCTCAGCACTGCAGTAACACTGACGTGGTGGTGGTGTGTTAATGTGTGTTGTGCTGGTACGAGTGGATC